TGGAATTTGTATAGCACCAAATATTTGTGAATGTTTGGAAAATTATACTATGAATGAAAACAATACTTGTGAAGCAATTTGCTCAAAAGCTTGTATAAATGGAGATTGCACTAAACCTGATGTTTGTACCTGTAATTCTGGATTTATACCTGATGAGAAAGATTCATTTAAATGCGTTGCAAAGTGTTCGAAAAAGTGTAAAAACGGTTTTTGCTCAAATCCTGAAACTTGCTCTTGTAATGAAGGTTTTAAACTAAATCCTGCAAATAAATTCGAATGCGTCCCAGTTTGCTCAAAGAAATGCATGAATGGAAAATGCGTTTCTCCTGAAAAATGTGAATGTAAGGAAGGTTACTCTTCAGATCCAGAAGATGAATTTAATTGTAAACCAAATTGTTCGAATCCTTGCATCAATGGATTGTGCATAAAACCAAACACTTGCAAATGTATGGAAGGATTCAAGAAGTCTTCTGATAATCCGTACGTTTGTGAAGCAATCTGTGAAATGCCTTGTATTAATGGAAATTGTATAGCATCAAATACTTGTGAATGTTTGGAAAATTATACTATGAATGAAAACAATACTTGTGAAGCAATTTGCTCAAAAGCTTGCATAAATGGAGATTGCACTAAACCTGATGTTTGTACCTGTAATTCTGGATTTATACCTGATGAGAACGATTCATTTAAATGCGTTGCAAAGTGTTCGAAAAAGTGTAAAAACGGTTTTTGCTCAGATCCTGAAACGTGCTTTTGTAATGAAGGTTTTAAACTAAATCCTGCAAACAAATTCGAATGCGTCCCGATTTGTTCAAAGAAATGCATGAATGGAAAATGCGTTTTTCCTGAAAAATGTGAATGTAAAGAAGGTTACTCTTCAGATCCAGAAGATGAATTTAATTGTAAACCGATTTGTTCGAATTCTTGCATCAACGGATTGTGCATAAAACCAAACACTTGCAAATGTATGGAAGGATTCAAGAAGTCTTCTGATAATCCATACGTTTGTGAAGCAATCTGTGAAATGCCTTGTATTAATGGAAATTGTACAGCACCAAATACTTGTGAATGTTTGGAAAATTATGCTATGAATGAAAACAATACTTGCGAAGCAATTTGCTCAAAAGCTTGCATAAATGGAGATTGCACTAAACCTGATGTTTGTACCTGTAATTCTGGATTTATACCTGACGAGAACGATTCATTTAAATGCGTTGCAAAGTGTTCGAAAAAGTGTAAAAACGGTTTTTGCTCCAATCCTGAAACGTGCTCTTGTAATGAAGGTTTTAAACTAAATCCTGCAAATAAATTCGAATGTATCCCATTTTGCTCAAAGAAATGCATCAATGGAAAATGCGTTTCTCCTGGAAAATGTGAATGTAAAGAAGGTTACTCTTCAGATCCAGAAGATGAATTTAATTGTAAACCGATTTGTTCGAATCCTTGCATCAACGGATTGTGCATAAAACCAAACACTTGCAAATGTATGGAAGGATTCAAGAAGTCTTCGGATAATCCGTACGTTTGTGAAGCAATCTGTGAAATACCTTGTATTAATGGAAATTGTACAGCACCAAACACTTGCGAATGTATTGAAAATTATACAATGAATGAAAACAATACTTGTGAAGCAATTTGCTCAAAAGCTTGCATAAATGGAGATTGCACTAATCCTGATGTTTGTACATGTAATTCTGGATTTATACCTGACGATAAAGATTCATTTAAATGCGTTGCAAAGTGTTCGAAAAAGTGTAAAAACGGTTTTTGCTCCGATCCTGAAACGTGCTTTTGTAATGAAGGTTTTAAACCAAATCCTGCAAACAAATTCGAATGCGTCCCAATTTGTTCAAAGAAATGCATGAATGGAAAATGCGTTTCTCCTGAAAAATGTGAATGTAAACAAGGTTACTCTTCAGATCCAGAAGATGAATTTAATTGTAAACCGAATTGTTCGAATCCTTGCATCAACGGATTATGCATCAAACCAAATACCTGCAAATGCATGGAAGGATACACCAGAAACCCAAAGAATCCGTACGTCTGCCAACCAGTTTGTAAAAAGCCCTGCAAGAATGCCAAATGCACAGCTCCAAACACCTGCAAATGCTTAGATAAGTACGCACCTAATGCTAACAATCCAAACGTTTGTGATCCAATTTGCATGAAACCTTGCACCAATGGAAAATGCACAAAACCGAATCAATGCACGTGCAATTCCGGATTTATTATGAGTAAAAGTAAGCAATGCGTTCCTCGCTGCTCCAAACCTTGCGTGAACGGAATCTGCACCGCACCAGAACTGTGCCTCTGCAATCCGGGTTACGAAAGGCAAGGAAACGCTTGTTTACTAACACCGAAGACTTTGAAACCTTGTAGTGAAGGTTTCGTTAATGATTTCAGAGACGAATGCGTCCCAATTTGCAGCTGTGACAATGGTTTTTGCAACGATGATGGTGGTTGTGTCTGCAATAAAGGATTTCAGCTGAAGGATGGAATTTGCGTTTTGGAGATACCAAAAGTATTGAAATCTTGTTCTAAAGGTTTCGTTATGATTTCCAGAGATGAATGTATTCCAATTTGCAACTGCAACAATGGTTTCTGTAACGATGATGGTGGTTGCGTTTGCAATAAAGGATTTCAGCTGAAAGATGGAATTTGCGTTGTAAAGATACCAAAAGTTTTGAAATCTTGTAGTGAAGGTTTCGTTAAAAATTCCAGAGATGAATGCATCCCAATGTGTAGCTGTGACAATGGTTTTTGCAACGATGATGGTAGTTGTGTCTGCAATAAAGGATTTCAGCTGAAAGATGGAATTTGCGTTTTGGAGATACCAAAAGTTTTAAAATCTTGTAGTGAAGGTTTTGTTAAAAATTCCAGAGATGAATGCGTCCCAATGTGTAGCTGTGACAATGGTTTTTGTAACAATGATGGTGGTTGCGTCTGCAATACAGGATTTCAGCTGAAGGATGGAAGTTGCGTTTTGGAGACACCAAAAGTTTTGAAATCTTGTAGTGAAGGTTTTGTTAAAAATTCCAGAGATGAATGCGTCCCAATTTGCATCTGTGACAATGGTTTTTGCAACGATGATGGTAGTTGTATCTGCAATACAGGATTTCAGCTGAAGGATGGAATTTGCGTTGTGGAGATATCAAAAGTTTTGAAATCTTGTAGTGAAGGTTTTGTTCAAAATTCCAGAGATGAATGCGTCCCAATGTGTAGCTGTGATAATGGTTTTTGCAACGATGATGGTGGTTGCGTTTGCAATACAGGATTTCAGCTGAAGGATGGAAGTTGCGTTGTGGAGATACCAAAAGTTTTGAAATCTTGTGATAAAGGTTTCGTTATGAATTCCAGAGATGAATGCATTCCAATTTGTATCTGTGATAATGGTTTTTGTAACGATGATGGTGGTTGTGTCTGTAATACAGGATTCCAGTTAACGAATGGAAGTTGCATTTTGGAGATACCAAAAGTTATGAAAACTTGTAGTGAAGGTTTCGTTATGAATTCCAGAGATGAATGCGTCCCAATGTGCAGCTGTAACAATGGATTTTGCAACACTAATAGTGAATGCATCTGCAATACAGGATTCCTGCTGAAGGATGGAAGTTGCGTTTTGGAGAACGCTTTCGAGAAATTGGAAGTTTCCGAAGGTTTTGAGAACGAAACTAGCAGCAATATCATCGATCTGCAGACGGCCCAAATGTAAGTTTTCTTTCATTTCTATTTACGATGTGCAAGTGAGAACGCTTTTTAAGGGCTTCCACGTGGACGATCGTCGGAGCTTCTGCAGGAGGCCTGGCCTTCGCCGCGATGTTCGGATATTTCGGTTACGTCATGAAAAAGCATTGGAAAGTGCCTCAAACCATTACCGATGCTGAAACAGCGAATAGTAACTAATTAATTATTTTCTACACAAAACACAAAAAAAAATAAATCATTCCTTTCGCAATCTTCTTTTAGATGCTTCCGCATCCTCGAGCCGACAAAACGAAACAGCTTTAACAAAAAAATTGAGAAGGCATTAGCGATTTTAACATAATTAATTAATCAAACTGAATAGAAACTAATAATAAATCAATTTGTTAATTCATGTTTTTTTTTCTTTCTTGTTTTCTTTTCTTCTAAATTTGTAGATTGAATCAATATTGGTGGTTGCTCCTCGCTGCAGCTCTAATAGCAATTTTCGTCGTCGTCACCGTTTCCTTCTATATTTTCGTTCATTTTTGCTGCACGGACAACGAAATCGATATCCATCGAAGGCAATGTAAGTTCTCTGTTAAGTTCACAAAGATGTGGCTATAACGATGTTCGTTTCAGCCGTCCAGACGATCCAAAATCCCATTTTCATTATAGAACGATTGAAAACCGCAAGCTGAGAAGTTGGATCAGACATAAAATTTAAAAAAAAAAAAAACTGCTCAATAAAATTACTTTTTTCTTTGTACACTTTTCAATTCCCATTTATTTCTCGAGGAAATCTCTTGGAGAGATTCTGTGTTTCTCTATTTTTAAATAAAAAAAAATTCGAAAAAAAAAAAACTTGCTTCCTTTGTAATAAATAGTTCCTTGTTTTCGCCCATTTCGCATTTTCATCCTGCACTAATGCGCGCATAACTTTGCGCCTCGTTGAGCATTAATAGTCTAATGGGGTCAAATGTCATCCTCCTATCTCATTTTAAAAATGCATCTCACACAACAACAATTCTTCCTACGTTTTTCACAATTATCTCACACATAAATCAAAACATATTACATCCAAATATTTGTCTATTTCTTCAATTAATAGATAAACTATTGTAGTTAAATGAAGGACAACACGAGCGTAAGTTATATAATTCAGTTTGACGGCGCTAATTTAATTCCGGTATTTCTGTGAGTGCCGCCGCCCCACGAAATTCATGCATTATGCACCCACTCAAATTACGCTTCACATGTAGCAAGCATTTAAGTATACAGTAGACAGTTAAAGGTAATCCCGACGTTAATTATATAAGTTTTTGAATCATATCAATAATGTCTGTATTTCTATTTGAATCTACACGATACTTGAGAAGTCACATGTAAAATAATTGTTAAGTTTATCGGATAGTCAACATTATTTACTAAAGAAATTACAATTAAAATTACATATCAAAAGTTGATGTGAAATTGTAAACAAAAAATATAATGTATTCATGCATTATGCAAACATTTATGTATACAGTACAGTTAAAGGTAATCCCGACGTTAATTATATAAGTTTTTGAATCATATCAATAATGTCTGCACTTCTATTTGAATCTACACGATACTTGAGAAGTAACATGTAAAATAATTGTTAAGTTTTTCGCAAAGTCAACATTATTTACTAAAGAAATTACATATCAAAAGTTGATGTGAAATTGTAAAAAAAAAATGTAATGTATTCATGCATTATGCACCCACTCAAATTACGCTTCACATGTAGCAAGCATTTAAGTATACAGTGGACAGTTAAAGGTAATCCCGACGTTAATTATATAACTTTTTGAATCATATCAATAATGTCTGCACTTCTATTTGAATCTAAACGATACTTGAGAAGTAACATGTAAAATAATTGTTAAGTTTATCGGAAAGTTAACTAAAGAAATTACAATTAAAATTACATATCAAAAATTAATGTGAAATTGTAAAAAAAAAATGTAATGTATTCATGCATTATGCACCCACTCGAATTACGTTTCACATGTAGCAAGCATTTAAGTATACAGTAGACAGTTAAAGGTAATCCCGACATTAATTATATAAGTTTTTGAATCATATCAATAATGTCTGCAATTCTATTTGAATCTACACGATACTTGAGAAGTCACATGTAAAATAATTGTTAAGTTTGTCGGAAAGTTAACTAAAGAAATTACAATTAAAATTACATATCAAAAGTTGATGTGAAATTGTAAAAAAAAATGTAATGTATTAATGCATTATGCACCCACTCAAATTACGCTTTACATGTAGCAAACATTTAAGTATACAGTGGACAGTTAAAGGTAATTCCGACGTTAATTATATAAGTTTTTGAATCATATCAATAATGTTTGCACTTCTATTTGAATCTACACGATACTTGAGAAGTCACATGTAAAATAATTGTTAAGTTTATCGGAAAGTCAACATTATTTACTAAAGAAATTACAATTAAAATTACATATCAAAAGTTGATGTGAAATTGTAAAAAAAAAATGTAATGTATTGATTTGAAATGTTCTTGTGTAATAATGAAATGAATGTGGTTTGTGAATTGGAACGAGTTGGTGTGTAAAAGAAATAGGAATAGCAGGTTGAAACAGGAATCAATTGAATGGTAATCCTGATTTACGAGTGGAAGCCGGATTAATAGGATTTCGCGGCATAAACGTATGTGTTTGCGCCATCATCATGTACATCGAAACTACTACAACAACATCATCATCATTCTCATATTGCGTGAGTATCTATAAAAGCGTGACACGCCACGCGAGTATCTAGATATCTATGGTTTGTGCAAAATGTAGGTGGCTGTGTGTTAGGGAAGAGAGAAGGGTGAGATGGTGGATGCGCCGGGCCATTGCGCCGACTCTGACGACGACGACCAAAAACGACGGAGGCACACGCATTCCCCCATCTGCATTCCCAATACAGTATCTCGACCCCAACTTTTTGGAATGGTGAGGAAAGCGGAGGAAAATTAAAAAAGAATTTGGAGCAAAGGGAAGTAGCAGCAGATCAGTATAATAATTAGTGCGTCAGTTCGTCGCGTTGAATCTAAGGTGGATTGGGAATAAGTAGAGTTGTATTATCGTTGAAATCGGAAGAAGTAGAAGCAGCAGCATTCGATGCACCTCCGTGGCTATTGATCGGGGCTTCCCCCCTATGGCGGCGGCAATTTGAAGATCATTAGTAACACGCACGTACGCAGCAGCAGCAGCAGAAGCAACCTTTCTCTCCTTCTCGAGTGTTACGTGATGGATAGCGGCGTCTGCGGATGTCTGCCCCAGCTCGCCACTGGACCGGTATCGCCATGGTAGCGGCCCCGAGGCCAGCGTCGCCGAGGGGAGTCCGCGCTCGCCCATGGAGATGAGGTCCACTTCAGCGCTCCTAGTCCTCCTCGCCATCTACCTGCCCGCTCCTCTTCCCGGCCAGAGACTCGTCCCACCTAGGAAGTATCAGGCCACAGACGACGACGACGACGGCAGTTCAGCCCATCGTCAGGTCGCACCCGACGTTCACTACGACACCGATGCTAATTATACAGGTAAAACACAAATTCAAATCCATCCAATCAATACGTCAAGATCATTAACGGTTGTTTCTTCTCTCTGCTTTTTTTTTGTATTGAATTTTTTATTTTTTTTTTGTCGAAGACACCCTTAACTGCATATAACCTACATTTTCACAAAACGAGTCTATTGATCGCCGGCTCGTGCAGACTTTCCCGGCCCTTTCTTCCTCACCCTCCACCCTCTTTCAACAATCACCCCGATCCCATCGAAACTATTCCAACAATCATCCAATTTATCATCCACCTCGATTCATATTTTTTTCCCATTAAAAAATCAACACTTTTTACAATATTTTTCAATACAAATGTTTTTAACTATCTCCAATCAATTGACAACAAAACTATTACATAAATCACACATCACACATCGAAAAATCACACATCTGGAGCAAAGTTAAGGTGGGGTTTGCAAAACTTAGCAAAACTAAATTATTGATTTATAATCAATCAACAAATTTTTGTCTTTTAAAATTTACTTTTAATACTGATTATTTCCATTTATAATACACAAAGTATTTGCTACTAATTAGTCAAGTATTAACGCAATCATATTAATGAATCCATCCAACTGTGGAAATCCTACAATTCGAGTATAATTAAATTGGAATTTGCAACAATTGTATGGTATAAATTCCTAGAATCACATTTGTAAATGAAACTAATTATTTACTTAATAAATTGAGCTTTTTGAAATCGTCTGAAAATTAATTATTAAAATTTTAATATCAAAATCTAATATTTATAATTGGTTTCATAAAGAAAGAAAAAATGCTAATTTAAAATAAAATTTGTCCTAACTTTAGAGATTACAAAAATAGTAGTAATTATTCTCAATTTAGTAAATTTATCATTTATGAATAGTCTAAATATCATGTGAAAACTTAAAATTCAATCTTTTAGTTTGTTACTAATTTTATAAAAGAATTTTGATACTTAAAGTTTTACTCAACTTTAGACGCTATAAAACCAATTGTAAACTTAATAACTTGAACATTAAGTACGTAAGTATCAATTGAAAACTCATAATTAACAAACAATATTTTAATTTATAACTTATTTTATCAAAGAAATTTGACTTATTTCTCACTAATTTTTTACTCGAATTTCACAGTTTTTTTTATCTGTTTATTTGTAAACAATCTAATTTTAAACTAAATAAATTGAATATTGATAAATACATATAAATATCAATTGAAACTCATAATTAACTCACAATATTTCAGTTTACACTACTTTTAGCACAATTTCCAATCATTGTTTGACATTTTTTAAACTACAATCACATTTGTAAATGAAACTAATTCTCTACTTAAAAAATTGAGCTTTTTGAAATCGTCTGAAAATTAATTATTAAAATTTTAATATCAAAATCCAATATTTAAGTTTATAATTGGTTTTATAAAGAAAGAAAAATTGCTACTTTTTTAATAAAATTTGTCCTAACTTTAGAGATTACAAAAATAGTAGTAATTATTCTCAATTTAGTAAATTTATCATTTATAAATCGTCTAAATATCATTTGAAAACTTAAAATTCAATCTTTTAGTTTGTTACTAATTTTATAAAAGAATTTTGATACTTAAAGTTTTACTCGACTTTAGACGCTATAAAACCAATTGTAAACTTAATAACTTGAACATTAAGTACGTTAGTATCAATTGAAAACTCATAATTGACAAACAATATTTTAATTTATAACTTATTTGATGAAAGAAATTTGCTTAAATTTTCACTAATTTTTTACTCGAATTTCACAGTTTTTTTATCTGTTTATTTGTAAACAATCTAATTTTAAACTAAATAAATTAAATATTGATAAATACACATAAATATCAATTGAAACACATAATTTACACAGAATATTTCAGTTTACACTACTTTTACCACAATTTCCAATCATTAAACTACAATCACATTTGTAAATGAAACTAATTCTTTACTTAAAAAATTGAGCTTTTTGAAATCGTCTGAAAATTAATTATTAAAATTTTAATATCAAAATCCAATATTTATAATTGGTTTTATAAAGAAAGAAAAAATGCTACTTTTTTTAATAAAAATATTTATAAATCGTCTAAATATCTTTTAGTTTGTTCCTAATTTTATAAAAGAATTAGGATACTTAAAGTTTTACTGGACTTTAGACGTTATAAAACCAATTGTAAACTTAATAAATTGAACATTAAATACGTAAGTATCAATTGAAAACTCATAATTAACAAACAATATTTTAATTTATAACTTATTTTATAAAAGAAATTTGCTTTATTTTTCACTCATTTTTATCTGTTTATTTGTAAACAATCTTTAATTTTAAACTAAATAAATTGAATATTGATAAATACATATAAATATCAATTGAAACACATAATTAACACGCAATATTTCAGTTTACAATACAACTTGCAAATTTGTTTAATCAATGCTAAAAAAAAACTTTTAATAATTTCATGATGAAAAGTAATCAAATATTTGATTACGAAAATTATTGAATGTAATCAACAATATTAATGAGTCTATGCATGCGTATGAAAATAACGGATTAAGTAAAGATTATAGTATAATTCCCTTATCGTTTTTTCAATTCATAAAATAGTATCATTAATCAATTTAAACAGAAATCGATTAATTATAGAAAATTTCACTTGATATTTCCTGAACAATAAACTACAATTAACTTCACGTACAATCACCAAACCTTTCACAAAAAATAATATGTTTTTACATACAATAGAAAAGTAATTAATATTAATTTCAATATTTTAACAAGATTTTTTCAGTATGTAATCAAATTTGAACATGATTATATTTGGTCCAAATTTGTAACAAAATGAAAACTGATTTTATTCTCCATTTTTTAAAACACAAATTAAACTATAGAATATAACAAATTACGTATTTTCTGTTTGAGAAAAGTTACATGACTTTAAATTATAAATAAAGATTAAATTATATTCTCTTTAATAATTATCTAGAAGTAATGTTGTGGTTTCCAAGTTATATTTAGCATTCATGAATGCATGTTTACATCGCATCTTTATCACTCAATTTTTCGTTTTAATCTGACTTTGCTGAGGGGATTCCAACAATTCTCTGCTGATAATGCGTACGCAAAGTTCTTTATATTTTATTATCACTACATTATGTTGGCTTTTCCAGTTTACAACGTTTATTATCAATGTAATATTATTCTTGAAAGCGTTTCTGATTATTAACAAACTGAAAGTATTTAGGACAACAAATTTTATTCTATTATTAAAACTATTTTTTAATGATAAATTTGGACGATGAATGTTTTCGAGAGAAATGCAGTAAATCAGACATAATTATGAATGATTGCTTTCATTTAATCGACTGAATTTGATGCATTTCCATACATGTAAATATGAAAAATGAAATTAATTTTCTAAATTAATCGTGCATAATTTGGCATTGTTTCAAGGAAATGTGTTGTGCGGTTTTTGGTGGCGAATTGATCGCATCGATAAATCGTCGCATCGGATCGCAATTTCAATGGGTTCTCCCAAAACGTACAAATAAACGCTAATTATCGTTCAATCTGCGGCGCAAATCGCCCGACAATACCAAAAATAGTTTTCCTTTATGAATGTCCTCGGAACACGCGAATACAAACGATTAATGCCCCAATTGACTTAACTTTTTTTACACGCTTCTTTTTCGTAGCAGAATTACAATAATTTCATTTCCGGCGCGAGGCGATTTATTTTTAGATGACAAGAGAATTCGAAACGAAAACAGCACCCGGAAGTGTGACGATAAATTGCCGCTGTTGTTTTTTTTTATGAATCGCATTTGCATGTTACACACCCTCCGCACGCACGAAATATATCAAATTTGGAGAGCTTCTTACACGAATACAAAGTGTTTTACAACAATTCTTATAAACACCATTTATTGTCTATACTTTTAGCTTTAATATACATTTTGTTGCAATAATCTATCCTTTATACTTTTCGAGATATTGACATAAATTTAAACACACTTTTTTTTCAATGCTTAAACTTTTATTTTATACTTCAAATTTGGAAAGCGCCTTACACGAAAACAAAATGTTTTACAATCATTTTTATATACAACATTTATTGTCTATATATTTAGCTTTAGTATACATTTTGATTCAATAACCTATCGTTTATGCTTTTTGAGATATTGACATAAATTTAAACACATTTTTTTTAATGATTAAACTTTTATACTTCAAATTTGGAGAGCGAATTACACAAGCACCAAATGTTTTACAATCACTTTTATAAACAACATTTATTGTCTATACTTTTAGCTTTAATATACATTTTATTTCAATAATCTATCTTTTATACTTTTCGAGATATTGACATACATTTAAAAACACTTTTTTTCAATGATGAAACTTTTATTTTATACTTCAAATTTTGAGAGCGCCTTACACAAACATTAAATGTTTTACAATAATTCTTATAAACACCATTTATTGTCTATACTTTTAGCTTTAATATCCTTTTTGTTTCAATAATCTATCATTTATACTTTTCGAGAAATTGACATAAATTTAAACACACTTTTTTTTCAATGATTAAACTTTAATTGATTTCACTTTAAACACAAAATTGACAATTGCCATAATTGGAATGAAAATTTCACAAAATCCATAATTGATATATTAATACATTTATTGGATATAGATTCAGCTTTAATAATAATCTTTATCTATCTTGTACAGTTTTCAAGAAATTAACAAAAATCTCAATACACTTTTTCAGTCTTGATGGTTTCTATTATGACTAGAAATTAGAAAAAAATGATGAAAACCATTAAACCATTCTTATACAAAACATATACTACAATTTTATTTTAAATTGTTGCTTGTAGTTATTGAAAAAAATGCCCTAAAACGAAAAATTTCAAAAAAAAATACAATTTTTTTCTTAATAAAAATAAACTAAATTCAATTGGAAAAGATAAAAGTTCTAACTAAAAAGAAAGTGTCTAAAACTAAATATTTCATTTCATTAATTCTGCAGTGAACTGAATGTTAGAAATTCGAAAAAGTCTGCAGTAATAAAACCGTCCAGTTTATTTATTTTATTTAATTTAACTGAAATGAAATTAGATGCGAATTCGTTTTGGGAATTGAGGAAGTTGCACTTTTGCCCCAATTTCAGTCTCGAAAGCTGCGACGACAGCGAAAGAAGTAAATTTGGAAGAAGGTGTAATGAATATTCGCTAACGGCGAAATAAATAAGTTATTCGAAGCCGCGCGCAACGTTTCTAACGTAAGAGTTCCTTTCGGTAATTGTGCCATTACTAAGTTTTCACTTGATGAACTGAAATTAATTTTGCTTAAACTTGTTTGCTTCGTTAGAAAGAAAAAAAAATGCGGGAAAGTTGAAGTTAATTAATTTCTGCTCATTGTTTGTTTGTTATGTCAATATTACAAGAACAATACTGATTTTAATGGTTTTTTTTTCTTTGTATGTTTTAGAGGATGGAATGTTTTTGGGATCGCCTTGCGAAACGACCTGCGGCCCCAATCTTATACACGTCTTCTGCAATCCGGAGACGAAGTACTGCGAATGCGAGAAGAAGTATCCGGTTAGGCTTAATCCGGCGAAGGGATGTGATAAACGTGAGTTAATCAATGATGAGAAAGAAAAAAACCTGCAGCTAAATCTAAATATAGGTCAATAAATGCATATGTAATATTCTTAGATCGATTCACGGCATTTCCTCCTTCAGACAACTTTCCGAAGCGAACGGAAAATCGAATGGAAATTAAATGCGATAAATAACGTTCGCGAAAAGCTGTTCTCAACGTTGCATGCGCGAGAAAAGTTTCTGTTTGTCGCATTTCCTGAAAATACATTACTTTTCTGTATTTCTTAAAACTCACATTCTATTTTACTAGAATGTAGAAAAATACACTTATTATACTTATTCTATATAAAATGAATATATTGTTAAAAATTATAGAAATATTTATTATTGCCATAAATCTCCAATTATACACATTTTTTCAATGAATATCCAGTTTTTATATAAGCCTATTAGCATATCTTTGGTTACAGTAGAATTCGAGTAATTCACGAAAATGTGAAAATACTATTGAATTTTATTGCTTCAATTTTGATTGTAAATTACAGTAAATTTGTTGATATCACAAACCTCTAATTATATTCATTTTATTCATTGAATATCCAGCTTTTATATAAGCCTATTAGCATAACTTTGGTTACAGTAGAATTTGAGTAATTCACGAAAATGTGAAAAAACTATTGAATTTTATTACTTCAATTTTGATTGTAAATTACAGTAAATTTATTGATACCACAAATCTCCATTTATACTCATTTTGTTCATTAAATATCCAGCTTTTATATAAGCCTATTGGAATAGCTTTGGTTACAGTAGATTTTGAGTAATTCACGAAAATGTGAAAATACTTTTGAATTTTATTACTTCACTTTTGATTGTAAATTACAGTAGATTTGTTGATACCACAAATCTCCAATTATATTCATTTTATTCATTGAATATCCAGCTTTTATATAAGCCTACTTTGACTCTCGTATGATTTTGGACAATTCTCGAAAATGTGAAGAGAATGCTTAAAATTTCATTACTTCAACTTTAATTATAAATTGCAAGAAATCTGTTTGTACCACAAATCTTCAATTATACATATTTTATTCAATGAATATACAGCTTTTATATAAGCCTTCTGGTATATCTTTAACTATCGTAAAATTTGAATAATTCTCAAAAATGTGAAGAGACTGCTTAAAATTTCATTACTTCAACTTTAATTATAAATTGCAAGAAATCTGTTTGTACCACAAATCACCAATTATACTCATTTTATTCATTGAATATCCATCTTTTATATAAGCCTACTTGTATACCTTGACTGTCGTAGGATTTTGGAAAATTGTCGAAAATATGAAGAGCGTGCTTAAAATTTCATTACTTCAACTTTAATTGTTAATTGCAAGAAATCTGTTTGTAGAACAAATCACCAATTATACTCATTTTATTCATTGAATATTCAGTTTTTATATAAGCCTACTGGTATATCTTTGACTCTCGTAGAATTTGAATAATTCTCGAAAATATGAAGAGAGTGCTTAAAATTTCATTACTTCAACTTTAATTATAAATTGCAAGAAATCTGTTTGTACCACAAATCACCAATTATACTCATTTTATTTATTGAATATATAGCTTTTATATAAGCCTTCTGGTATATCTTTGACTATCGTATGATTTTGAATAATTCTCGAAAATGTGAAGAGTCTGCTTAAAATTTTATTACTTCAACTTTAATTATAAATGCTTAAAATGTCATTGCTTCAACTTTGATTATAAATTGCAAAAAATCTGTTTGTAGCACAAATCAACAATTATACTCATTTTATTCATTGAATATCCAGCTTTTATATGAGCCTAGTAGTATATTTTTGACTATTGTAGGATTGATGTGAAGAGAGTGCTTAAAATTTCATAACTTCAACTTTAATTATAAATTGCAAGAAATCTGTTTGTACCACAAATCTCCAATTATACTTATTTTATTCAACGAATATCCAAACGAATATTTAAATAATCTTGTAGTTCTGTGTCCAACGTAAAAAATGCGAAATTCGAAAAAATGTAAAGACACTTTTTTACTGCTTCAAATTTCAATACTTAAATTTTAACATTCAATTACTGAAATTCAATTGGTATCATAAATCACCAATTGTACCAAATTTTATAAAAAATAAAAGACATTCAGCTTTTACATAAGAATTTTGGAATATCTATAGACTTTTAGTAATTCATTAGTAAGTCAAGGTAACTTCTTATAATTGAATTACTTCATTTCGACTATAATTTACAATAAATCTGTGTGTGACACAAATCACCAAATACACTTATTATATTGAATAAATATTCATCTATAATGTAAGTAATCTGATATTACTATTTCCATCGAAAGAATTACGAAATTAAAAAAAATGTAAAGGCTGCTTAAAATTCCATTATTCAAATTTTATCGGTAATTTACTGAAAACCAATTCGTGTCACAAATCACAAATTTTATCCATTTTATTAAGCAAATATTCAGCTTTCACATAAACATTTTGTAATGTTTATGGCTGTAGTACAATTTTAGTAATTCACGAAATAGAGAAGATCTGAGTGAAAGAAATCTGAAAAATCTGTTTGTGTCCTAAATCTCTAATTATACCTAAATTATTCTATTAACATTCAGCTTTCATATAAGCATGTTGATATATCTGTAGCTTTTGTAGAATTTGAGTAATTTACAAAAATGTAAAGACACTTCATGTTTTTTTTTGTGTGATTTGTTTTAAGCCAAGAAACTGGGAGACCAATGTTACTATAAGGAGACCTGCGAGTACACGGATCCGCACGCTTCTTGCCTGCAAGTTCACCACAACGCGGTATGCAAATGCATCCCGGGTTACCACTCGGTTACAGTCAATCGACCATCGAAGAAGCTCTTCTGCGCCGAAGGTAAACAAAGAAATGATCGTAAAACTGAAACTAAATCACAAACGTCGAACGTATTTTGCAGATCTGGAAGTCATGACGACGGATCTGTCGACGCTGGCGGGAGTCGTGTCGGGAATAGCAGTATTATCCGGTCTAATATGTTTCGTCCTGAAACTGTTCAACCAAAACCTGTACACCGGCCGACATCGATACGGTAATGCCAATTTGGCACCACCTATATTATTTAATAGTGACGCTGGTGAGTACAAACTAATCGAATACACATTATTATCATCAAAATACACATACAAAATACATAACAACAACAAGAACAAATATATCGATCTTTAATGCAATTTCAATTTAACTTTACAAGACACACACTGACAAACTAAAACTCATCACAATCATCATCGAATGTACAACGTGTGCAGCAGCATCAATTAGCCTCTGTATCTTTGTTTCTGTTTGTTTCTTTTGATTATTACGTTGTTCAATATAAAACCAAAACAAATATTCGCTAAAACAATTTAAATCTTAGTATATGCAAAATTTCATTTTCTTTTGTTACTCTAGAAAAAAAAAACTGTTATGAGTTAAGTTGCGAAAATAATCATTTCATAATTATGCTTACTTTCAGAAACAATCGATTTTCTGAAAACCCCTTATTCCAATTTGCAGCCGATTAATAGAAGTATGTACCTAGTACTTAACTTATTAACTAACATTAATATTTAACATTTTGCATGCTCTCATCATTTTCTTCATTTATTTATTCGTTTTTTAATTACCAAAATCGAAATATATATATATATCTATAAATCATTTACACACATAAAAATAGAAACAAAAACTACAATCGACTCTGCCTTTGTTTTTTTTAAAAAACGTATCCTAATATTTTCGTTAGTTCCGAAATGCATATTTCATTCGCGTTTTCCCGTTTGATTGAAAAACATTTCTTCCAATTTCATTACTTCAAATTTGTCAATAAACTATAAGAAATCTATTGATGCCACAAATCTCTTAATATAATCAATTTATTAATGGAATATTCAGCTTCAATTTAAGTAGTGCGACATTATTGTGACTATCACAAATTTTTAGTAATTAACGAAAATGTAAAGAGAATTATTACTATTTAATTACTTCAAATTTGTCAATAAACTGTAAGAAATCTATTGATGCCACAAATCTCTAAATATAATTAGTTTATTAAATGAATATTCAGCTTTAATTTAAGTTATAAAACATTATTGTGACTATCACAGACTTTTAGTAATTAACGAAAATGTAAAGACATTTATTACTATTTCATTACTTCAAATTCATCAATAAACTGTAAGAAATCTATTTATGTCACAAATTTCTAAATACAATTAATTTATTAATTGAATATTCAGGTTTAGTTTAAGTAGTAATACATTATTGTGACTATCACAGATTTTTAGTAATTACCAAAATGTGAAGACATTTATTACTATTTCATTACTTCAAATTTGTCAATAAACTATAAGAAATATTTTTGATGCCACAAATCTCTTAATATAATCAATTTATTAATTGAATATTCAGCTTTAATTTAAGTGATAAAACATTATTGTAACTATCACAGATTTTTTGTAATTAACAAAAATGTAAAGACATTTCTTACTATTTCATTACTTCAAATTTATCAATTAACTATAAGAAATCTATTTATGCCACAAATCTCTTAATATAATCAGTTTATTAATTGAATATTCAGCTTTAATTTAAGTTATGAAACATTATTGTGACTATCATAGAATTTTAGTAATTAACGAAAATGTAAAGACATTTCTTACTATGTCATTACTTCAAATTTGTCAATTAACTATAAGAAATCTATTAATGCCACAAATCTCTAAATACAATCAATTTATTAAGATTTGGTAAGACATTATTGTGACAATCACAGATTTTTAGTAATTAACGAAAATATAAAGAATTTTTTTTTAATTTCATTACTTCAAATTTGTCAATAAACTATAAGAAATCTATTAATGCCACAAATCTCTTAATATAATCAATTTGTTAATTGAATATTCAGCTTTAATTTAAGTGATAAAACATTATTGTGACTATCACAAATGTTTAGTAATTCACGAAAATGTAAAGACATTTATTACTATTTCCTTACTTCAAATTTGTCAATTAACTATAAGAAATCTATTGATGCCACAACTCTCTAAATACAATCAATTTATTAATTGCATATTCAGCTTTAATTTAAATTATGAAACATTATTGTAAATATCACAGCTTTTTAGTAATTAACGAAAATGTAAACACATTTATTACTATTTCATTACTTCAAATTTGTCAATAAACTGTAATAAATCTATTGATGCCACAAATCTCGTAATATAATCAGTTTATTAATTGAATATTCAGCTTTAATTTAAGTGATAAAAAATTATTGTGACTATCATAGAATTTTAGTAATTAACAAAAATGTAAAGACATTTATTACTATTTCATTACATCAAATTCATCAATAAACTGTAAGAAATCTATTTATGACACAAACCTCTAAATACGATCAATTTATTAATTGAATATTCAGCTTTAATTTAAGTGGTAAGACATTATTGTGACTATCACAGATTTTTAGTAATTAACGAAAATGTAAAGACATTTATTACTATTTCATTACTTCAAATTTGTCAATTAACTGTAAGAAATCTATTAATGCCACAAATCTCTAAATATAATTAATTTGTTAATTGATTATTCAGTTGTAATTTAAGTTATGAAACATTATTGTGACTATCACAGATTTTTAGTAATTAACGAAAATGTAAGACATTTATTGCAATTTCATTACTTCAAATTTGTTAATAAACTATAATAAATCCATTTATGCCACAAATCTCTTAATATAATCAATTTATTAATTGAATATTCAGCTTCAATTTAAGTTATAAAACATTATTGTAACTATCATACATTTTTAGTTATTCACGAAAACGTAAAGACATTTATTTGAACGTAAACGTAATATTTTCAATAATTTCAAAATTTGATAATATTTAAAAAAAACACGCATATAACATCATAATTTTTGTAATTTTCTTTAATTTTTGTAATAATTTGAGAATTAACAAACATGCATGCTTAAATTATCTGTTATGAAAAAAAAAAAAAGAAGATTGAAGTTAGTTAGGTTGAACAGTTAGGAAACTAAGGATATTTGGATACGTTTCATATTGAACAACTTAATATTGTTTCTCCTGTTTGGGCAAATATCATTGTGCGCTTTCTTTTGCATTTCTTGTGTCGATGTTTAAATCCTTTAAATGTTGTTACTCTCTTATTACTATATACATTTATGATTTTCCTTCCAACCTTGTTTCTGTTGATGATCGTGTCGTAAAAATTGACGTAGCTTAAATTGTAAATAAATAAATAATAATAATTTATAAAAAAAAAACGAAAGGATGCGGCAACGGGACGAACAACATCGAAGGAGTTTAGTTTCTTTCTGCTTTTCTATACTTTTCGTTTATTTCGTTTGGAATTTTCCACGAACCGCAACGACATTAACTAGCACCCATCTATACCATAAATATGATGAATCTTCAGCGGTGGTTTTGGAGCGGGAACAGTGACGAAACTGAGATATTGTTTATTAACTTCATTTTAGACACGTCTCAGCCTATGTATGGAAGTTTTTTAGCGGTGAGGGATGTTACAGGATCCGTGCCTATCATCGACCGTCGCTTGGTGTCGCGAGCCTCCAGTCAGAGAACACTGGTATCCTCTTCGAGGCGTCCTAGTAGCGCCCCAGGATGTCGCGGAATCGCCGTTTCCGCTTCCCGTGCAGGTGCGGCGCGTGCCGCTGCCATCTTGCTACTCTCTTATCACGCAACCCTTCCAGAACACTCTGGTATAATCACTTGACAAGAACAACAACAACAACAAAGATCAACAGCAAACAACCAACAACAACAACAACTCAAGAGCATCCTATGTAAACACTCACACCTTGCGCACACTCAACCACACCTCATCAAACACGAACACTCTTGATCTCTGTGTTTTTTTTTTCTATCTTTCATTTGTTTACTTGTCTCTTTATGATTTTTGCCTGGGACTGATCTGTTGTGACTCTTTCTGTTGTTGTTTTCGTTTTAACGCATTCCCCATTCACAATCCAAGTATTTCTCGACCATTAATTTGGTCAGGAAACACACATCCCACATCCAATCGCCTAAGTCGATGTCGCTTTTCACCGAATCGAAAAGGAAACAGGACGACAGGGGACAGCAAAAACTCAGCTAAATTGGAAAACTTTGAAACACTCATTCTTAATCAATCTACAATAACAAGAATTTATATAATTACAAAGAAAAACTTGAAAATTTTCATACATTTCAATTATTATAAGTAGAATAACATTCAGTGCAATTTTAATTACTTTCGTCATTAGAAGCGAATCAATAAGTAGAGAGAGAATATAGCTTTGCAACGCTGATATTCGCAGTATAATTACATCCTCCGGGACCAAAGTAATCCACTTGCAAAAGACTTCGGAGTAGGAAACAAGAAAAAAATAGTAATAATAACAAAGTATCGAACTCGTAATACGGTCGTAACAAGGCGAAAGTAAATTGATTGATTGCTTCAAATTTCCCCTGATAAAACTTATTATTATTTTTATTGTTGAGTTCCAATGAAATGAGAAACTCCAGATTAACAAAAAGTTAAATTAAAGATTAAGTTTAAGAAATGATGATAAAATGTGATATTTAGAATATTCTTAAAGCCTATTAAGAAATAAGTAAAGATTCCTTTAATTTTGTATGAAATTAATATAAAGATTTAAAGTAATTTTAGTCAAGAAAAATGTGATAAATCAACAAAGAACGTTCGGTGTTTCAAACTTTTCTTAATTACAGCTGGCTTTGATCCCTTGTATATTTCTCTAAAAGTCTGTTAAACAATTGAATACTTTGTTTATGTTATTGACTTAGTTATAAACAAAAGAATTTAATTTAATTTAATACTACTAATGATCTTCTTCCGACAGAATAAGTCTCCACAATTTCCACCGAATCAAAGAAAAAAAAAATATAATAAAAATTGTATATATATATTATTAGAAAAGAGAAAAAAGTAGTTTAGGATTAAGCAAAAGATTTTGATGAAAAAGAAACGAGGACGCAAGATGGCTGCGGTGATTGATTTTATTTACTTTTTAAAATATTTGCACTTAGCGAGAATTTATTGTTTCGTTTTGGTTTTGAATTTATTACTGTTTTTTTTTTTTAATTGTTTTCCTGTACACGAGAGTTGAGGAATCAGGCAGTAAATAAAAATTAACAAATTATCAAAAAAAAAAAATTGTACATATGATTATAAAGAGAGAGAGAGTGAACAGGAATAGCAGACCACACATAAAATTAAGAATTAAGAAAATTAGAGAATTTAAGCGAGTAATAGTGTTAATGTTTATATGCGGAATGCTTGAACTAAATGGTGCATGCAATAAACCTACTCCTACTCTACTTACTTCTCTCCGGCATGTGATGGTAATGTATCTCTTTGATTTGTCTTAGATGTTATATTTTCATTTCTTTTTAATTGTTTGAATGAATTAGATGTGCAATGGATGTTAAATGTTTTCTTAAGATAGTAATTTGTGAATCATTTGTGTAAATTGAAGAAACACCACTTAGTTTTTTTTTTTTGTGTAATTTTTTTGGTGTGTCTTTGATAGATCTGTTACTAATCGTGCGATTTGCTAACGAATGATTTTAGGTTCTAGAAGACCAAGTATAGCCTCCGTGCATAGTGGTAATTCGATCCGTAGTTATAGTATGCGACGGTACGAGAAGGAACGGGAACAGAAGGAGGAACGCGAGATGCAGAGGAGGTTGGCCAGGTTGCAATCCTCGATGAACTCGAGCGGACGCGTCGCTCCGACCCCGAGTCCGCACTCCACCGACGATCTGCTTCCAACTTTAGAAGAGGACAAGTCGGTAAATGTGAATTAGAATTAACTAGAGTTGTTAGATCTTCAGTTAACAAACACGCTGTGCTTTTTTGGTGTGTGTTTAGGTGCCGTTGGCCATATCAGAAGAGAGCGCTTCAACTAGTTTCCAAGAAGACATCCCCTCAACCTCGAAACAATATCCTTAACCAAAGGCGTTTAGGGTAATTCGATATAGACTGAAATTAACGCAACACACGCAAGAAGAAGTTGAACGATGTTGGCCTATGTCTTTTAAAAATAAAACAAACAAAAAAAAAAGTATCTAAACGAAGATTACGCAGATTTAATGAACAACCAAACCTGAAACACATCAGAATATGTGTGATATTTGAAAAGAAAAAACAATATTCGAAAATTTTACAAGGAAACATCCAAAAATAAACGAAATGGACGAAAAACTTGAACGTAGAATTTTTATCAAATTATAAAAAGAAAAATAAATTGTTAAAATATATATATATATACATATATCTCTATAAGTATTTAGAATAAATATACATGTTCTATAAACTAGATGCTGATGTTTAGTTTTTCGAGTGCGGCGAGCATCTCGTCTAAATCTTCGTGCGATAACGTCATTAACCAATCGTGCACAGCTTCCCTTCCATTCTCGTTGTACATCTTCAGCGCATCCGTTTTCATCTGCTTGATCCTTCGCGTCTTATCCAGATTACCGAATTCCTGCGCGACCAATTCGCGACCATCCGAAATCTCCTCTTCCGTCATCCGTCCCTTATCCAAAGATATCTCCAAACCGTAAGAATCACCGCTGGAAAGATCGACGACGCTCACCACGAGAATCCCGTTCTCGTCGATCTCGAACGTCTCTTTCAGCTTCACCGAGTGTTTAGGTCCAACGGGAAACCCGCTCACTTTCAGCGATCCGAGCAGATTGTTGTCTTCGGTGAGATGCGAATCTCCGGAGAAAATCTTCACGATGATGAACTCCTGGTTATCTTTGGTGGTGCAGAAGATTTTGCTGTTGGACGTGGGTAAGAGAGAGTTGCGCGCTACGATGACGTTCATCTCACCGCCGTCCGTCTCGACGCCCAAATCGTACGGCAACAGATTGTTCAGCACTTTCTCATCGTAGAAATCGTCGGCGTCGAAGAAGAAAGACGCTTGGATGGCTGCGCCAACGGCTACAGCTTCATCTGGATTGATGGTGCGTTTCGGGGTGAAATTGAAGTACTTCTCCAATTTGCTGACCAAGCCACGAATCTTCGTCGAACCTCCGACCAAAACTACATCGTCTATATCCTCCTTTCTCAAACTAGTCTTCGAAATGCACCTCTCCACAATACTGATGGCTTTATCGTAAGTGTTCGCGCAAACTGAATCAAAATCCGCTCTGCTTAAAGACAACACTAAATCTTCGCAGTCGTCCGGCATGAAATTCTCCAGATGCAAGATCGCCTCCTCCGAGCTCGCAAACTCCACCTTTATACTCTCGCATTTACTCCTCAATCTGAACATTAACCTGTCATCGTTCCTCGCGTCGTAATTGTATGTTTGCTCGATGTGCGAGATGGAGTAATCCAGCAGACAACTGTCCACGTTGTTTCCACCCAAGTTCAGATCTCCGTCGATTCCCAGCACCGTCACCTGCTTCTTGTTCAACTTCACGATGGATATATCGAAAGTTCCACCGCCGCAATCGAAGATCAGCACGTTCTTCTCGTCGATCTCGTTGTCGGCCGCGTACGCTATAGCCGCCGCCGTCGACTCGTTCAGCAAGTGCACCTCTTCGAATCCCGCAATGCTACCAGCATCTATCGTCGCCTGCCTCTGCGAATCGTGGAAATACGTCGGCACAGTGATAACCGCTTTGGTAACCTCGTGTCCCAAGTATCTCTCGGCGTCCCTCTTCAGCTGCTTCAGAAGCATCCCGCTCAGTTCCTCCGGTCGATAGAACTTGGACTCGCTTTCCGCGTTCACGTGCACCATCAGATTACCACCTTTGCTCACCAAATCGAACCTCCACTTCCTCGCCAGAGCCTCCTCCACGGCGCTCGCAACCTCCATCCCAATGAACCTCTTCACATCTAAACGCAACAAACAGTTAAATCAACAAACTCCAAATTAAAATAATTAGTAAATACCGTGAATCGTATTCCTCGGCGCTATACCGGATCGTTTCTTCGAAACTGATCCGAACAGAATCTCATCTTTCCAAAACGTGATGTACGAGGGGGTCGTCCTGTCACCGGCCTCGTTAACTATCACCTCCGGTCTTCCGTTCTTCACGACGGCCACGCAGCAATTCGTCGTTCCCAAATCGATTCCGATCGCGTCCATTTCGCTGCGACTTTCGATCGCCAATTACGATCCACGCGAATCGATAACAATCCAGTATTTTATTTCTATCGTGATCTTATCTGGCGATAGTAGCTGCCACACCCTGCCTCGCCAGATCCTTCAAAAACTCACAATCTGGGTTTTTCGGTGAAGACGATGACTGCGCCAGTGTTCGGCATCGACGCCGGAATCTTCAGCACGAAGACGGCCATCCTTCGAACGCTCGACAATGCACAATCGGATGTCCACTACACGAATCTGAAGATCCCGGCGTACGTCTCCTTCAAAGATGATCAGATCTTCGTCGGACAAAAGGCGAAGACTTGTAGCAATCAAAACATTAGATCCAGCGTTTGGGGTACGTCTGCAAAATATAAACTCAATCAAGTATTATCTTCATAAATACACTTTTTACTAGTGAATTAAAATGTAAGTTTTCACTTGCATTACATTTCAAATATGGGCTTATACTGTTTATTTAGTTTCGTTATCACAATCTTAACAAAATATTTACCAATTTGCTAATTTTTTTTAAATGGAGATCTCATAATAATGTTGAAGCCAAAACATTTACTAAGAGAATTTTTGTACATTCAGGAAATGGAAAAGTTCTGGGTAAATGTGAAAGATCGCTTCCGAAAGACCACAACATCGACTGTTTAGAAATAGACGAAGATGGCATCATAAAGTACAATATTGCAAATAGACTGATTCAACCGGAAGAGATATGCGCGAGAATATTGCGGAACGCCAAAGAGGAGACGGAAAAATACGCGAAGAGCAAATTGGAAGCTGCAGCAATCGCAGTCCCGAACAGCTTCGATCATTCGCAAAGAGAAGCTGTGATGGAATCTGCGAAAATCGCCGGAATCAAAGTTCTTCGGCTGATCAACGAAAGCACCGCTGCGGCTTTGGCTATACTGCACAGAAGACGATACCCGATCTCGAGGAACATCATGATATACCATTTGGGAAGCTCTAGTTTCGATCTGGCGGTGTACGAAGTCGGAGAGTTAACAGTCGAAATGAAATACTCGATCTCGGACACGAATCTTGGTGGACACAGGATAACGGAAGCGATAATGTCGTGGCTGTTGAGTTACCTGAAAGAGAATTACACGTTGAGCGTTGATGGCTTGACGCAGAAGGAGTTGAGGACGCAGAGCGTTTACGTGGAGGAAGCCGTCGGGCAGCTGCTGCACAGCTCCGAATCCTTCATCTTCGTACCGAAACTGAACGATCACATCATGCTCGGCGCGGACGTCTTCTACAAAATCTGCTCCAAAATGCTGCAGAAGACGTTCAAGTACATCGACGATTGCTTGTACCAGAAGAATATGAAACCGGGGGATTTCGAGGAACTCGTGCTGATCGGTAGTCCCTCGAAAATACTCTACATCAATAAAACGCTTTCGCAGAACTTCAAGATAACAGCGGCTTCTTACACAGAAGGTTTGGCTGCAGAAGGAGCCGCGATTCTCGGCTTGGATAAGTACAAGGTGATCGAGAGGTTAGGCACTTCTTTGAGCTACTGCAATCCGGTGACTACTAGCAAACTGCTGCAGTTGCTATCAGAAAGCACCAAGTTCCCAGTGAGCACAGAGATCAAATACAATCAAACCGAAATTGAAATCTATCGAGGAAAACAATTCGTGGACAGCTACAGCATCGAAAAGCCGAAGAACTTGGCGCGACTTCAATTCAGCTTCGATGAGAACTGTGCGCTTACGCTCACCGCCCAAGACGTGGACAGCAACAAGGCTTTAACAGTTACCAAGCACAAATCATTCGCAAATTCAGATATAAAACTAGCTGACGATAACTCATCTTCGCTGGAACTCCTCCACAACGAATTGGTAATGCTGATAAACAAATACACGAGGGCTATGGAACAGATGAACGTCGACATGAAATACAAAGAGATCTTCTGGAATATGTGCGACGCCGAGTGGATCACGAACCCGGCCCTCTGCAAAGACGCAAATCTGATCAGCAGGAAAAGGAATGCGATCGAAATGTTTTACAGTTTCGTCGCAAAACCGTCTCCCGACAACAACCAAATCTACATGAACTTAACTCAATCCAAATAGGAAACAATAACTCATGAAAATTTTTGTATTCATTAATCAACAAATATATATATTTATATACATAAGAATTATTCATGAAACGTTCCCATATTTTGACTCATTCGAAATCGTAAAACTGATGATTTAAGGCTTAAATTTTAAGCATTCAAAACAATACTGGATCATTGTTTTAGGAATTATTCAAAATGTTGTTGACTTCCTGAATCTAAAGGTCAACAACTAAAATATTTTGAGTCATCGACGGAATCATCAACAAATTGTATTCAATACGTTTTATGATTCATTATTTATCAATTATAGGAAGGATTAACCAATTAAACAGTTTGTTTTATATTTAATAAAATTTATATACTTTATTGTAATCAAAATTAACATTATATACATCATTAAATAACTCACCAATAATCCAATTTGTTCTCATCTGGAATAAAAAAATATAAATGATTAGTTTCATTATAAAAACTGTTGATTATAATTAAATATGTTCAATCAATTATCAGAATTTAAAATTATCTTCAATGTAATTTCTAGAAGAACGAAAGTTAATGTTTGAACATCATTTGAAGCAAGTGAATTGTATTGTAATATTATTTAAAATCCTTGTTAATTACCTGTTTTGTTATAGTTAAAACATCAGCCACGAACATTGTTTGTTTCCATGTGCAAATTCCACTCATAATCTGTAAGATAATAAAACCAATATTAATATTTATGCTTGTAACAAGAAATGATTCATATTTGTTGATAGAAATTATCAGGAAGTCAATTATAATCATTTAATTTTTATATCAGCGACTCTAGTCTTGATCTTGAATTATCATCATTAAATTTTATGAAAAAACAATTATTAAGAGTAAATAAAACGAAACTTACTTTTGAATGTCCTGAGTTTTGAATCCTTGACTGGATAAAATGTTTCATCTGCAAAAAGAACAATAATTAGTAAGTGGTCATAATTGAAAAGATTAATGTTTGATTCGTGTTGAAATGCTTCAGACATTGCATTATAATTATAATCATTATTACTCATAGACTCTAGTCTAAACAATATTATCATCATAGTGTGATAAGATTAGTTACTCATTAAAAAAATAAATCTGAAATTACCTTTTATTGTAAGATTACGCAAGAAAACTCAGCAATCACTCAGCAAAACGTGTTTCCAACTGAAAAATATAATCTTGTTAGTTGTGTGCTAATTGTTATCATCAAGTGGACTTACCTCAAAGTTAATGATATCTGTAGTTGCTAAATGGAAAAGGAATATAATAAATTATATAAACTACTGTTTTGGATTTATTTTATTCAACTGGAAATTGTACTGTAAGAAACAGATCCCAAAAGTGTTGTTAAAGACCCTAAGAATATAAAGCCAAATAACAATAAAAGAGGAACCAGTTTCCTCTTTGGTGGTAAAGAACAATTAATTATAAATTAAGCATTGTCTGAAAACAATAATACTGGAAAAAAAAACTCAGAACGGGAATGATTTGTTTAATCGACCTCCTCGATGGTTGGTCCAGCGCCTCCGGTGCCTGGAGCAGGTCCGGGAGCGGCGCCAGCACCACCTGGGAATCCTGGCATACCGCCTGGTGGAGCTCCACCGGTACCTTGGTACAACTTGGCGATGATCGGGTTGCACACGTTCTCGAGTTCCTTTTGCTTGTGATCGTACTCTTCCTTCTCGGCCAACTGGTTGGCGTCCAACCACAAGATGACAGCGTTGCACTTCTCGAGGACGGTGTTCTTCTCCTCGTCGCTGATCTTCTCCTTGATCTTAGCATCTTCCATGGTGCTCTTGATGTTGAAGCAGTAAGATTCGAGAGCGTTCTTGGAAGCGATGGTTCCCTTCTGCTTCTCATCCTCGTTACGGTACTTCTCGGCGTCATGGACCATACGTTCGATGTCTTCCTTGCTGAGGCGACCCTTGTCGTTGGTGATGGTGATCTTGTTCTCCTTGTTGGTGGACTTTTCGATGGCGGTTACGTTCAAGATACCGTTGGCATCGATATCGAAGGTGACTTCGATTTGTGGGACACCCCTCGGCGCTGGTGGGATTCCGGTCAACTCGAATTTTCCCAAGATGTTGTTGTCCTTGGTCATGGCACGCTCACCTTCGTAGACCTGGATCAATACTCCGGGTTGGTTGTCGGAGTAGGTGGTGAAGGTTTGGGTTTGCTTGGTTGGAATGGTGGTGTTACGCTTGATGAGAGCGGTCATGACACCTCCGGCAGTTTCGATACCGAGAGACAATGGAGTTACGTCGAGGAGGAGCAGATCTTGAACAGCCTCAGACTTGTCACCGTGCAAGATGGCGGCTTGGACAGCGGCACCATAGGCGACGGCTTCATCGGGGTTGATGGACTTGTTCAATTCCTTTCCATTGAAGAAATCTTGCAAGAGCTTTTGTACTTTAGGGATACGGGTGGAGCCACCGACCAAGACGATGTCATGGATTTGGCTCTTGTCCATCTTGGCGTCACGGATGGACTTCTCGACGGGCTCCATGGTACACCTGAACAGATCAGCGTTCAATTCTTCGAACCTGGCCCTGGTGATGGAAGTGTAGAAATCGGCACCTTCGAACAAGGAGTCGATTTCGATGCTAGCTTGGGTGGAGGACGAGAGGGTACGCTTCGCCCTTTCGCAGGCAGTCCTGAGACGACGCAGAGCACGCTTGTTGGAGGACAAGTCCTTCTTGTGCTTGCGCTTGAATTCTTGCACGAAGTGGTTGACCATGCGGTTATCGAAATCTTCACCACCCAAGTGAGTGTCACCAGCGGTGGACTTGACTTCGAAGATACCATCTTCGATGGTCAGGATAGACACATCGAAGGTACCGCCGCCCAAATCGAAAATGAGCACGTTCCTCTCGCCGACTCCCTTCTTGTCCAAACCATAGGCGATGGCGGCGGCAGTTGGTTCGTTGATGATACGCAACACCTGCAAGCCAGAGATGGTTCCAGCATCCTTGGTGGCTTGACGCTGGGAATCGTTGAAGTAAGCTGGTACAGTGATAACAGCGTTGGTCACGGTGGCACCCAAGTAGTTCTCAGCCGTCTCCTTCATCTTAACCAAAACCATGGAGCTCACTTCCTCTGGGTAGAAGCTCTTTGATTCTCCCTTGTATTCGACTTGAATCTTGGGCTTTCCACCGTCGCTGACGACATCGAATGGCCAATGTTTCATGTCAGATTGGATGGTGGCATCCTCGAATTTACGCCCAATAAGACGTTTGGCATCTACAAACAAATTCAAAAATTTAGCAACAAACCACAGAAAACCACAACAATAAATTCCTTATTCATTAAATATAATTAGATAAAGAGGGCAAGGTTGATTGAACAACTTGCAAATAACAAACAAACAAACAATAAGGATTTTATAGTAAATAAATGTATTCAAATTTGGGTGATACTGGCAAACTTGGTATTACAGTTCGCAGCGACCTTAAAACCTGAAATTTAATATTGGCCAATTTAAGAAAACTATGATATCTCTTGGTTAGTTTCGGATTCACAGGTGTTGGTTGGCCTTTACTACTCCATTTGCAAAACGAGTAAAAAAAAAAAACACTATTCAAACATCCCAATAAGGTAATGTCGAATAAGTTATTATAATAAAAAAAAACTGCTAATTTAGAAGCGTAAATATTATTCATTAATATAATTATTATTTGCAAATGGAGTAAATATTATTGAAATGTTATTAACATTCTCTTGTTAAATTATGATTTAATCTATTGATGCTTACCAAAAATTGTGTTATTGGGGTTCATGGCCACTTGGTTCTTGGCGGCATCACCGATGAGACGCTCGGTGTCGGTGAAAGCCACATAAGATGGGGTGGTGCGGTTGCCCTGGTCGTTGGCAATAATTTCGACCTTTCCATGTTGGAAAACTCCAACACATGAGTAGGTGGTACCCAGATCAATACCTACTGCTGGTGTCTTGGCCATCTGCAACGAGGAAGAAAACTCATAAATAAAACATAATCAACAACAAAAAAAACTTACACTACAGAAATAAAGCTAATTTGAATGATTAATAAGCGTGACTCGACCTCTACTCGTAATTAACTTTTTTTTTCTTTCCTTATTCAATAACCAGTTAGCAACAATTATAATGGGGAATTCTCAGAAATGATGTAAACTGGATGTATAAACATAAACAAGTTTGCTCGTCATCGATTGACGGGACTTGCAATTTTTTTTGTTTCGACTGTACAAAACGCGTATTGATTTTCACAGCTCGCGCCCAATCATTCGCCTCAATAAATTGAAACAATTAGAATTAAAAAAAAACTATATATAAATCAAATAATATAAACTGAATATCAATAATGTAATTGAAGGATTGCAAAAGATTAATCTTAATTACTTTAAAAGGAATAGAGGCTATGCATGGGAGCGGCACGTGTGAGGATGAAAAGAACGTTGCTTCTCTCAAAACGATGCGAATTTAAGTAAAAGGCTTTTAAATAAAAGACTAATATCAAAGTTAAATATTAAAGTAAAAAAAAACTCACCTTAGTTTCGATTATATTCTAACAGACAAAATAACTTATTCTATACTTAAATGTTACAGTACGACGACCAAAGTTGAAATCGGAAGTGTGTGGTAAATATGGCCGGTTTTATACCTAGCGTCAATGCGGTTTCTAGAAGTTTTCTACGCCCCACCAATGGCGCGCGACTTCGGACAAAAAGCCCATCTCCCATTGGCCACTCGAATTAGCCTCGTACAACCTCAATCATCAACCCTTAATTACCGATCACCCCTACGTACGAAATCAACTAATTGTTCTTCATAAATCCTTTCCCGATTTTATCTTTCATCCAGTGCAAAAAAATTGTTTAAAAGTTCCCTAATAACAAAGTTAGCAACGCGCCCTACAGCGCCACAAATTGGCGCGAATCGCTACCGGCCCATTTGAATTTCTCGTTTTCAAACTGAAAGAACAACAGTTTCTTTCAGTTAAAACGATCTTAAACTATATTAATTATAAATATTAACATCGCATTACTATTGTAAACATGAATCATTGCATTTTTTTCTTTTTGTGTTTAAATTGCTAAGTAAGCTATTGACCCACGTGGTCTTGCCTCAAGGTTGCATCATAAGCCCATGGCGTAGTATATAAACGTATTTTTCCTTTAAATAATCGCTTCGATTATCCTATTCCATCCGCATAATGACGCAGTTGAAATTAACGTCTAGAATCGTCCAGAATTCGTTATGCAATAGCATCAAATTATTGCGTCCATATCATAATCAATTTCATTTGTAATTCAATACAAATCGGATAAGATTCAGCACGTGGTCGTATTCAAATTCAATCATTTTGTTTCACCTAAACTTACATTACATTTATCCTAATAAAAATCGATATTTGTGTTTCATAAAACTGCAGTACTTTCTGCATCATAATAATAATAATAATAACATGCATCTACTTGAGGGTTCTTAATCCATTGCTCCATTCTTTCAGAGCTTTTCTTGGAACATCTGCCTTTGGATCAGGTAGTCAGGGTTTCTTTTCCTAACAATTTCTTCTTTTTTTCTTCACCCTTAAGATTCCCTTGGAAAAAGGCAAATCTCAGGTAGTAGATTTATTTCTACCAACGTGAATTGTAATATGTAACATGAAATCGGCGCATGGGAAAATCTAGTTTTTTCTTCCGCTTCGAAATCTACCGTTAATTTATGAGAGAAAATCTAAATAATAATGGATTAGTCTTTTGCTTTGCTCGCATCCGCAATCCGTGCAGCATCCGAGTAGAATGGGTTACGTATATAAAGAAAAAAACGTAATGATTAGGACATATTTTGTGTAATCTAGAGCTCGTTGACCTCTATCTTTTTGATCCCAAAAATACTTCTAACTCTATCTGCGATTATGCCTTTGCTTATATTTAGATCTGCAGTGTCGGTATTGTTACGTAACTCTTGCACGAGGATGATTTTAAAAGTTAATTGGTCTGTTTCATCAAAATCCTACTATTAACATCATAAAATCATATTTGGAATATGCATTAAATTCACCTTTGACCTGTAACTGTTAAGGCCAAGGGAAGAAACGACAGTGAAAATTAGGAGCTAAAGTAGTTTTTAGTAATTAACAATTATTAATTAAACGTTATTTTTAATAATTATAAATAAGTATAAAAAGGAAGAGGATGAAAAGTGGTCATGATTGATAGGCAATTAGTAACGAAACCTTCCAATAAATGGGGTTTCTGAATTTGTCTAAAGAATTGTACTATTTTTTATTGATTAATTATCAAGATTGTAATTCAATTTTCCTGAAAATCCTCAGAAATAAATAAAACTTAAAAATAATGGCACACTGAGAACCTTTCGAACGACGTCTTAAATTAAATGTCTTGAAGTCCTCGGTCTCACCACGAAAATGCATTCGAAAGACTTATCTTGAGGTAAAGGAAGAGGATGAAAAGTGGTCATGATTGATAGTAACGAAACCTTCTAATAAATGAGGTTTGTGAATGAGATTTGTCTAAAGAATTGTACTATTTTTATTGATTAATTATCAAGATTGTAATTCAATTTTCCTGAAAATCCGCTGAAATAAATAAAACTTAAAAATAATGGCACAACCTTTCGAACGATGTCTTAAATTAAATGTCTTGAAGTCCTCGGTCTCTCCACGAAAATGCACTCGAAAGACTTATCTTGAGGTAAAGTACGTTTGGTAGCAGATACCCAAAGAGGTTGTGGCGAAGTAGAGGAAGCAACACCACCAGGTGCTGAATCCGAACAACCCTCTGAACACGTCCTGAGTGAACACCTGAAAAATCACTCAAATTAATTAAACTGCGTATATAAATAACGCTAGTATTTGCCGTTTTCAAACTATCCAAAGCTAAATGAAACTCCTGCACGTTCTCCGTGATGGTTTTGGCTGCGGTTTCCGCGGCGGCGACTTCGGGAATCGAACATTCCGCTTCCGACTCGACGATTGAAGACATGCCGTTCCAGCTGTAACCGCCGAGCGTCTTGTACATCATGGCCATGTACAGACACATCACCAGAGGCGCGATGTATTGGAGCGTGACGACGCAGAGGTAATAGAAGACCGCAGCGATCTGCTTCTGGAAGTCGACGTTCGTTATCCGACCGGCCTCTTTCTTCAGCTCCTCCACGCGTCTTTTAGCCATATCCAGATAAGCTTGCAAGTACAGAGGCATCAGGACTGTCTTTAGTATCATCGTGACGATGATCAAGACGATGCGGAGCGTATCGAAGGCGGAAGCGGTCAACCTGAAAACGAAGCGATCAACAGAATTGTTGCAATTCGTGCAAGTAAACGAACTTACAGAGGCTCCGTGAAACCCTTGAAGATGCGCACCGTCAAATAATCTCTGCTCACCGGTTTTATCCACGCGATGACCAAAAGAAACGGTAAAGCGTACGCCAAATTCAAGAGCAACTGAATGAAACGTCTATCCTGGTAATACCTAAAGATTGTAACAGACAAAGATTAATTTGTTAACATGATGATCTTTGGATATCACTTTAACAGATCCCAATGCATCCGGGCGATTCTCAAACCGGGGAACGTGAAGAACGCTCCAAGAACGCCGCACCATAGAGCCATACATAATTTCAGAATCAATTTAGAAATCGGTCCACTGAAACAAACAACAATTTATTTATAAATAAGTATAATTACAGTACGTTTTTGCAATCAACTTACTTCGAACTTAAACCTTGTTTGTTTAAGAACGCGGAAGCGCTCTGATTGAAGCTGCTGTAGGCCGTCTCCAAGCCCACCTCCAGCGTGTTTTCGTCGACGATCAGCACCATCATCGAGAGCAGGAAGTAGACGAAACCCATCACGATGCACGTCGACCTTTCACCCACAGATTCCTCTCCTTTGAAATACTGTATCGTCAACGATAACAGCATTTTACTTTTTTTTTTAAAAAATAAATTGTTAAATTATTATTAGAAAATCGTCTGTAGGAAACGAAAATTACCTTGCGAAAATAATGACTAGGAAGATCCACAACATGCTGAGATTAACCTCATCTTTTGAAGGAAAGAAACCATGGTACACCTACAATTATTGTTATTATTGTATAATTAATATCTTTTAACTTGATTGATTACCTCTGTTGCAATATAAACAACAGCTGCGTAAATGGAGAAATCCAGGAGCCATTGATATTCCATGTAGAATCTCAGATGGATGACATCCAAAGGAGACACCTTTATAGTATCCAAATCGATGTCAATATTTTTCGGTATGTGGAAGGTTTCTTTGGTCGGGGCTGTGCCATTCGATTGTGATTTGGATCCCTTCTTGCCCTTCTGCTTGTCTTTGGGAACGTTCGCAGCTTGCCTGAGTTCGCTGTCTGTGGGGTACAGATATCTGACCAGACCGGTTGAGCATAGTAGCCATCGGGCGATCGAGAAGTGTGGCCCCAATTTTTGCATCACACTGATCATCACCAAGGTGATGACTAGTTGGACTCCTAACAGAGCCTACGATGGAAGCAATTAATGAAACTGATAATTTAATAATCTGGTAATTACCATTTTTGAGTGAAGAGTATTGATGAGATTCAAAATCACAGTCAGAAGAACATAGCTGCAGTGCGATTATTTTTAGGAGAGCGAACCTGGAGGAAACCAGACTTAACCTACAAAGAATATTAATAGCCGCTCGTTACGTCAGCGTTTAGGTGAGCGCGGTTTTTCGACTAGTTTAATTGAGATTTCCTTATTATATCTTGTTTTTAGACGGTATAAATTATCGTGATAGCGCGGTGGTCCTAGTTAAACGTCTTGCATTTTAAAGATGATTGATGGGTTGCATAGTGCGTGGGTGGATGAGGATGCTGGCTTCGAAGGTTGCCTGCAAGCTAGGTTTGTTTGGATCGAGGTGGGCCTCGTTCTTCGTCCATCTTTCCGGTCTTTGTTTTTTTTGTTTATCCTCGAATTATTATCTGAAGTCGCAGCAGCAACAGCAGCAAGGATTGTGCAATCTTCGTCTCGGAATTGTGATGAGCGGAAGCTGTGAATCGATATAACATGTTGCCCGTTCTTGGCTGGTGGCAGTGTGTCGTTGGTGGTCTGGCAGCTGATAACACCCGGACGCCGACACTTTGAGGTTAGATCTCTCTGTTGGTTTGGCTGGTCTGGAAGAAGGCAGCAGACGGAGCGAGTTCCCAGGTCAGGTATCGGTTTTTGCTGGTGGTCTTCGGTCTTTTATTTTGCTACAACAACGAGGAAAGGAAAGACCTTACGGACATGACTCTGAAATCGATCAAGTACGAGAAGGGCAACCTGGAGATCCTCGACCAGCTGCTGCTGCCCGCCCAGAGCAAGTTCATCCAGGTCAAAGGAGTCGAGGACGGCTGGAAAGTCATCAACAAGATGCAGGTAAATCGATCATCAATTAACACTAACGCATTTTTCGGATGACCGGACTCTCCTCGACCGGTCTGTTTCGCAACGCTTTTCAATTCGATACGCTATATTTAATTATCTCATTGGCACTCGTCTGCTGGTCCATGAACTCGTTTGCCCAATCAAAAGCATATTTTCATTCTCAATCCAATCCAGACATACATACACACACACACAAACACTTCATTTCGCTGCAACCTCTATTTGCCATCCATAAATGTAATCTCAAACAACTTTTTTCTTACAACAAGAATTCAACAATTAATCTTCTCATATTTGTTAATAATTGAGGAATATTTCAATTGAGGAAGCTTTCAGATTTATTTTACTATGAAACACCACTCTTTTAAGTCATAATCACTCTCAGGCGATCAAATTTTCTATATTGAATGAAATTGGCATTTCTTTCACTGCAGATACAACAAAATCATTGATCCACCCACATTTCTTCAGTATTGAGGGCATATGTCATAAGAAATCATTAGTGTATCTTTAATTCATGAATCTTTTGGGACTTGTACCAACTCAACTTAACGTTTTCGTGAATATAATTACTCAGTTTGTAAATTATATAAATGTTTCAGGTGAGAGGAGCACCAGCAATTGCGATCGTGGGTTGTCTGAGTCTGGCCGTTGAGCTTAGCACTGAAGTGTTCGACGATAAGAAGGTGTTGCGTCAGGAGATCGAAGGCAAGCTGAATTATCTGGTTTCGTCCAGACCGACAGCCGTGAACATGAAAATCGCCGCCGACGAGCTGATCGCCTTGTCCAATAAGTTGTACAAGGATGAGACAGTTACAGCTGAAGTGATGAAAGTAAAGTGAGTGTTGATGGTATTTCCAATTGAATGCGAATTATTAAACACGTGTTTTTTTCTCTAGGTTTATTGATGAGATTGAATCGATGCTGGAAAAGGATATCGCCGATAACAAGGCGATCGGTGAGTACGGAGCGTCCGATATTTTGAAATCTCTACCATCCGACAGCATGGTAAGGATATTGACGCACTGCAATACCGGATCTTTGGCTACCGCTGGTTATGGGACTGCTCTCGGTGTAATTAGAACGTTGCACTCTTTAAAGAGATTAGGTATATATTCGTATAAGATGTATAGTCTTTCAGATGTTTAATTTGTTGTTGTTGTTGTTAGAACATGTCTACTGTACGGAAACGCGGCCTTATAATCAGGGCGCTCGGTTAACCGCTTACGAGCTAGTTCACGATAAGATACCGGCCACATTGATTGTTGACAGCATGGTTGCTGCTTTGATGAAGCAGAGGAACATCACCGCAGTTGTCGTCGGCGCCGATAGGGTAAGCAATTGTCGCTGAAAGGTAGAGATAGAGAGGTGTTTATTATGTAAATAATTTGTAAAGGTCGCTTCCAACGGGGACACCGCCAACAAAATCGGGACTTATCAGATTGCCGTTCTGGCCAAACACCACGGCGTTCCGTTCTACGTGGCCGCTCCGTTCACGTCCATCGACAAGAAGATTATCAGCGGCGATCACATCATCATCGAGGAGAGGCCTGATAGAGAGATGACACATGTTGGGGACCACAGGATTGCCGCTCAAGGTATAACAGAAGTAGAAGAGTTGTAGAAGAGCTTTAAGCTTTAATTATAGTATAATTGTAATAGTTTAATGATAAATTTCTTATAGGTATTTCATGCTGGAATCCCGCCTTCGACATAACGCCTGCGGCCCTCATCGCCGGCATCATCACCGAGAAGGGCGTCTTCCGTCCCAGCGAGTTGGCCAATTGCCAGTAGTTCGAACGCTTTTTTTTTATATATTTTTGATAACGATAATTTTATACATTTGAAGTTTGAACCTTCCACACATATACACATACATACATACACAGAGAGACACATCTTCGTAACTTCCATAAGTGCAACTACCGTGGGAAATCTTTACTTATACTCGGCTTTACTCGAGACGCGAATCTCCTATACCGGAATTGCTAAGTAAATTAATCTACGCAAAGAAAAGTAAAAAGAAAGAAAATTGAACGAGATTTTCGGATTGGAGTCTTGTTACGCTACAAGAAAGAAAGAAAAAAATAAAATAAAATAATGGGAAATAGATTTGAGCTCAAGACTATTTCGAGACTATTTTTGATACATGTTTTATGTTAGCGAGAACTGATGTTTAAATTCCTACTTTACTATATTACTACAACTACTACTACTATTATTATTATCGTGCTGCAGCGTATTCCGCACAATTGTTATTATATCTGTTTCTGTTATATAATATATTTACTATTTTTTAGCTAAACAATCTAAAAAAAAACACTTAGAGTTTTTAATCAATCCTTCCGCTTATAACATATCCCATGTTGCAAATTTCAAGGATAATTTCAAAAGTACTTGTCCAATTAATGAGTTTCGATTTCAATGGGTTGATGAAAATAACAGGAAGACCTTACTTCTTCAATTGGAGTACATTTGGTAGTTTGTTGCAGATCAAACGGAGGACAGAAATAGAAGTTCGTCAAGTCCACTTGAAAGAAACAGTAAATATTTTTCCTTTAAGCATTTCGAAAATATTATTCGCGGAAAAATAATGACTGCGACAAATCACGAATCACTCATTTAATGTTTTTCCTTTCTCTCTATTGTCGTCCAAATATACTTCTGTTATTCCCAGATTCTGAAGCACACAATACACTCGCTACAAATACTATATTTCAACCTAATTTAGTAGATTTCTTTCTCTCCCATATCCAAATTTAGAGACAGTTCCAGTTTGCAAATTGATTGCTAAATTGAAATTGTAGTTTGAATGAGCCTTAGTAACTCCATACATACATACAAATCCTTTAATCCAATTTCATTTTCAGGTAATTCCAGATTGAAATTGACTCGTAAAATGAGTAGAATTCAGCTTGTTGTAAGCATTTGAGCGGAAATGCAAAGATTCACGTAATTTTCTCATGAATTATGGTCCGCGTACCGTGTAATTACGTAATCTGTAGAAATGCATAATCGATGTTTTGTTCGGAACGTTCGATGCTTCCTCATGCAAGTAAATTGCTATGTTGATTACTTGATTACTGCTTTGCGAGTAGAACTACATGTTGTATAGTTATATATAAATTTTGATGATGATGCGAAGACACGATTTTCCGAAGCTTAAAAAAAAACGTTTTTGTTTTATATTTGACAGTTAATTACAGGTTGGATTAGGTTAGGTTACGTTAGGTTAGGTTGGATTATGTTAGGTTTAACTTTGATACTAGATTTTCAGGAAATTGGAAAGCCCAAACATTTTGCTTTAAGTTGCGTGCTCATTCATAATTGTGTCGTGTATAGTTAATGAGAAAATTGATGATTTGTGAAGACTTATTTTTTTTTTCGAAAAACAAGAATTCTTTCAATATTGAAAAGAAGAAGAAACAAAGTTGACTAGATTTTTATTTGATCAAAGAAATAACTAGTTTTTTAATTACAGAATTTTCAACTAATTGAGTAAAATGTATTTAGAAGAGGTTGAAAGAAAATTGTTGGTTTAAGTTGCGTGCTCATTCATAATTGTGTCGTGTATAGTTAATGAGAAAATTGATGATTTGTGAAGACTTAATTTTTTTTCGAAAAACAAGAATTCTTTCATTATTGAAATGAAGAAGAAACAAAGTTGACTAGATTTTTATTTGATCAAAGAAATAACAAGTTTTTTAATTACAGAATTTTCAACTAATTGAGTAAAATGTATTTAGAAGAGGTTGAAAGAAAATTGTTGGTTTAAGTTGCGTGCTCATACATAATTGTGTCGTGTATAGTTAATGAGAAAATTGACGATTTGTGAAGACTTATTTTTTTTTTCGAAAAACAAGAATACTTTAATTATTGAATTGAAGATAAAACAAAGTTGACTAGATTTTTATTTGATCAATGAAATAACAAGTTTTTAATTAAATAATTTTCAACTAATAGAGTAAAAATGTATTTAGAAGAGGATGAAAGAAAATTGTTTAAAACTAATTTTATAGATTGAGGAACTTAATTGCAGTTATTAAGAAATCCATTTTGTTGTTTAATTGTAGATGTTGATATGGAATAATTTTGATGTCCTCAGAAGGTAGGAAATTGTTTAAAATTAAGTACAAGTGTTTTGTAAATCTTTGTAGTGGAAGCGTGACTAATTACTGCTTTGTTTTTAATGTTGGATATTAGGATGTTGGAAAAGTTGTAAAGTGAAATCCGTAGATCCTGTCCCAAGATTGGTAGGTGGCAATTGGGTGTAGGAGACGTTGTGTGGAAATTTCATTCATGAACGCCGCAGAGGCGGAGAAAATCCCCGAACAGGAAGGAAAAGAGAAGAAGCGGAATAAGAGGACGAGACGGAGCGTAGAAGACGGAGCGTTTACGAGGTGGAGCCAGGCTCTCCTAGTGTAGTAGTAGGACGGGAGAAGCGGCCGCACTTCCGTTGCCTCGAAGAAACTTAATTTTAGCAACGACTCGCTAGTGCCAGTGTTGTACGCGATACCATAGCGATTAGATCGAAGCCAAGAGACAGACAGACAGACGGACAGCCGGAATTAGTGTCTGAACGCGATCGCTGTGAGCTAGTGTTATTACATACTACGGCCATGGAAGCGGAAACCGTGGAAGAGAGCTACCAAATGGAGGTCCGACGAAAGGTCGTCCGGACCAGCCTTAAGATCGAGGAAGTAAGTCAACAAATGTTATAGCTATCATCATTTTGCTTTTGTTTTTCGAAAATAATTTTCGCAACTTCCCCAATTCTTATTTTTACATTTTCATTTCTCGACAAATCCTTGATTTTCTTCGTTTTTTTTTTTTGGTTTGGTTTGAAGATAAGCAGCGTCACCCGTCTTAATGACGGATCTTTCAAAAATAGAATCATGTAACGTGCTGTGCTGTTTGTTTGAACCGCGTAGCTTATATTTAAATAGCTAAGATACTGAGAGGCTGAGAGAGTACATTCTGCTTCAACTTCAACTCGACGCATTCGTGTGTCCGGGAAGATATACAGAGAGAGACGCACAGCGAAACAACGGATAGCGAAACCTGTTGCGCGAAGAAGTACACTTCTTCGACAATTATTTCTTTTTCGGTGATCGCGAAGCCCTGGCTTTTCATTCTGTACGTTCGAAGGAGATTAAATAATCCTCGGGATGTTTACATTGGAGGAGAGCGCACCGTCAGTATTTTGGGATTCTCACGGGGAAATATTTATAGATCGTATACTCGTTTTTTTTTTTGCTTTTGCTTTCTTGTTTTAATATAAACCCATGTACTTTTCATTCGAAACGATTGAAATTAAACTTTGTTTCGATACTTTAGACTTTAATGGAAAGATCCGCGAAGTTATTGAACTTTTACATCAAAAACTGTTGATTTCCCTTTGCAATCATTGAATTTGTATCATTTAGTGTACAAAAGTTTTTTTTTTCATGTACATAAACTGTAGTATTTGTTTATATCACAAGAAAATGCTATTATCATACATAGAACAATGTTTATTTTCAATAATAACATGTGAAACTGAATTTGTCAGATCTTATTTTGTTTACATACGAAATGTATAAATTTCATAATTTCAGTTTATGCTGAAAAGTGCAATAAGAAATGCTTTTGAAATAATCGCAAGAAATTTTGAGTGTTTACTTTTTGAAAATACACAAAATTTAGAAATTACTGTTTTTGAACAATAAAATAATTTGAAAATACGATTTGAAAGTTGTAGCAGTAGCAGAAAATTTCAATTTGTAATTCAATTTTGTAAACAGTTCTGCACATAATGAAGCCCTCATTATAAGAAAGAAGCGCTTTTGAAATAAGTAAAAGTCGTAACAAATGATAATCTCTTGCGCGCATCTCATCTGCAATTTCACTTAAATTCGTTCGAGTAAAAGTACGTTCATTGTTCCTTCCATGATGAATGTCCACGCACAAAACAAACAAAAAAACAAAGCACACGTCTTCGTCTTAGTTCGTTGTTGTTTTGTTTTGTTTTGTTTTGTTGTTGATTGTTATGGCAACGCGGTTTGGGATGCGTTTAATCTGTTTCTTTGTTGATTGTCATGGCAACACGTGAATCAAATCTTTCTAAATTTACGTTCCTTGAAGCCATTGTTCTCAACTAAAATTAGACGTGTTCTTAAGATCTTTGTTTTTGATGCTTTTATTAAGAGGTCAACACTTTCCTTATTAATTGATTTTCTCGACTCGCTTTCCTCTCACGTGTGCAAATAATATCAAGTTAACATTGTTTCTAATTGGTGTTCGTAATTGATTAATTGATCCAGTTAGTATTAGTTCAATTAGTATTTTTTTTAGATGAAAGTCTGTTTATAACTAAACTATCGTTTGGTGTTTATAAAGTGCGTTTTTTTTATAAATAAACTTGTAAATTGTATAAAACATCAATACCACTTACAATAACAGACAGTAAATTGAAGTGAATGTAAACGATGGAATGTTTAAAATTATCATTACAAGTAGGAAAGTTAATTAAGTTTACAAAATTTAATTTTTTTTTTACAAATTTAGTATAAAAAATAAGATTAGAATTATTTAGTGAGAAAAATATAATTCGTTTGTTATAAATCAAAAAAATTTACAGAAAACAAATATTAGAAATAAACGTTTGTTATTAATTTGTTATAAATCAATTTTTTTTTTGATAGAAAACAAAAAGCTTTGGTGTTTTGAATTAGTAAATAGTAACTATATTATCTTTATTTGTTCGAAAATCTGTCTCATAATTTTTCCGTTTAAACTAAAACACATCAAAGACAAAGTCTAGTGTCTAGCTAAATATTATTTTTTTTTGGCTCGGAAACGGAAATCGTGGGCGGCTTTTCGAAACTGCGCCGCGCCCCGATACGGTCACCCATCCAACTATTAATACTGCTGCTTAACTCTTGTCCGAAAAACAACGACCTTTTCATTTCAATATTAATAGAATTGTTACATTAAATATAAATTATTTAAAAAACATAATATTTATATGTTTGAAATATTGAACAAAATCTGCTCTTTTTTTAATAGAATTATCATTTTAAAATAATTCCGAAGTGTTAACTAGATGTCGCTAGTTGTTGTTTTTTTTAAAGTCAATTCATTTGTTTCAAATTTAAATATTTCTATGATTCAATATAAGTAAAGAGATTGAAGAATTGGAAAATTTGTGAAAAAATGCGAAATAGTTTTGGAAAATTAATTAAATTAGTTATCATGAATTCATTAAATAAGTAAAATAACT